GGTGGTAGAGAACTTGGCTAGCATGTGCAAGGTCCTGGGTTCAATCCCTAGACCTACCTTAAAAAAAAAAAAACTATCATATCTGATAAGAAAGAAGAAAAGCAGCAGCTGGTCTTGGTGAAGGACTCCCTGTTCACCCACTCTTCTCTATGGGCCTTCCCACCCTTCACTAACCTTTACTAAACACCCAGTCACGAATCATTTACTGAACACCTCTGTGCTGAAAAACTGTGCTAGATACTTGGATATAGTGATGAACTGAAACAGCAAGCAGAAATACCAAAACAACACCAACGATTTGGAGGCAGATTTACTTTACATTAACAGGCACTGGGCAGAATCACTCACAAAATATCAGGCCCCGATCTTTGGCAGTTTGGAGCTTATATGGGATAAGCAAGCAGGAAGTTCAGAAGCAGAGTGTTGGTGGTTGTTGGTGGTTCTTATAATATGCGTCACAGTGACCAGCTGTTTCTAGGAGACAGAAGTAACAGGAATTATAACAGAAACTGTTACCTAGGCAACTAACAAACTGGCAGGGGGGGGATTTTCTGCTATAGAACAACATAGACATCCTCTAACCTCACAAAATTAACCTCAGATACATATCTACATACATATCTTGAGTATTTTTGTTGGGTTTTTTTTTTCACTTTTTTTTTCTTTTTATGGGTACCAGGGATCGAACTCATAACCGCCTGCTTGCAAGGCAGGTGCTTATGCTACTGAGCTAAATCCCCAGCCTCTTTTGCTAGGTTTTTAAGGACAAGGTCTCACTATGTAGCCTAGGCTGGCCTTCAGTTTGTAGTGATCCTCCCACATCAGCCTCCTGAGTGCAGGGATTACAATCATGTGCCACCACACCCAGATCATATAGAGGCATGTATGTATGTATTCATTTTTATTATTTTTTTAATTTTAATTATTTTTTTCATTTTCGTTTTTTTATTGGTACCAGGGATTGAACTCACAACCGCCTGCTTACAAGGCAGGTGCTTATGCCGCTGAGCTAAATCCCCAGTCCCTCATTTTTATTTTTTTGAGACAGGGTGTCTGTCTCTACATAGTTTAGGTTTGAACTCACTATGTAACCCAGGTTGGCCTCAAACTCATAGTGATTCTCCTGCCTCAGCCTCCCAAGTGTTGGGATTACAGGCATGTATCACTACTCTGGCTTCATATAAGGGTTTTGCAAAACAGTTTCCCCAGTAATAGTCATGTTAATCATAATTGCCCATTAGGGAATATTTAGTGCATGCCAGAAAATTTATATACATATAATACTACTTTTTTTTTTTATTGTTTTGAGACAAGGTCTCTCTATGCAGTTCAGGCTGGCTGCACAGGCTGGTCTCAAACTTGCAAATGATTTTCCTGCCTCAGACTCCCAAGTGCTAGGATCACAGGTGTATGCCACCACTCCTGGTTCTATATACTACATATTATATATATCATTCTGTTTCATCCTCAAAACAGGCAACAAAATAGACTCTATTAGACCCATTTTTCAGACAAAAACCAGGCTTAGCATTCAAATGACGTGTCACTCTCACACAGCTGTGTTTGTTGGTCACTTTCAATGCCTTCTTCTGCTCTTCACCATACCGTAGTGCCTCCAGTTGCTTCTCCATAAGGAGATGCTTTCAGCAAACAGGGCTGGGGTCCAGGTCATCTCCATGTCCCCAGCCCCTAGCCCAGGCCCAGATTCTGGTCAAATGAAACAATTCATTCATACACACACACACACACACACACACACATATGGCACTGGATAAGATCTGGATATGCAAATCCTGATTATTTGGGTTTAAATCCTGACTCTATCATGTACTAGCTGTGCACCTCACTTTCCTTATTTGCAAAATGGGAACAGTGATAGGGCTGTGATTTATTTTCAGTGAGAAGTATGTGTGAATTGTTTACCCCAGCCCTGGCATCCAGCCACTCAAGTCAGTGAATACTTGTGGCCACAAACACATGCCTAAGTACACCATCTTCCCAGCCGTCTTCTAGCCTAGCTCCATGGAAATGTCCTCGCGGCTGACAGCGCGGGGCCCCAGAGCCAGCAGGAAAGAGTAGCTGTTCCCCTGCAGCTGCACCTACACCAGCCCAACTGAGTGGTGGAAAAGGAGTGCTGGTCCTCACCAGTTCTGGACCCCATCAGGGAGGGCTTCCTGGAGGAGGCCTCCAGCCAAGGAGAGTAAGGCTGAAGTAAGAAGGTGCTGCCCCAAGCCTTCCAGTGCTACACCCTTCCTCCACCCCTTCCTCACAGTAGAAACTTTCCTTCTCTTCCTGCCAGAGTGAAATTGCCCCCAGGAATGTGCTTTGTCCCACTGCTCCTCTAGCAGTGGCCAGAGGCTGTCCTGGGGTCAGGCCTGGCCCTACATCAAAGGTTCAGTACCATAACAGCGTGTCTCCTTGCCTGCCACCACCCTTCCCTCCAAACCTCCCCTCCCGCCAGCCTGCTGGCTTCCAGGGAACAGCACATGGTAGCACTTAAGCTCTGGGAGGACGGGAGGATGCTTTTCCTGTACCCCCACCTCCCACCAGCCACAATGAACTACTTGTTAGGAGACTATTTTAATTTCGCTTAATGTGATTTCAGCTCCTGGGGCCTCTTTGCCACCCGCTACTTGGGCCTGGATGCCCAGTGCAAATGTAGGGGAGGCCAACCTCCCAAGAGGAGGAGTAACTTGAGTGTGGAGATGTCGCTGGTACTGGGAGGCTGGGCAGGGCAGAAAGGGCACTGTTACATCAGGGATGTGGGTGGGTGGACTCTGGACTCCCCGTTCAGAAAGTTAAGAATTAGTGAGGGGAGAGCTTGGAGCTGCATCTTGAACAACTCAGGAGGCCATCATGAGAGTATGGAGAGTTTGGAGACATCCGGGTCAGCCCAGCCCTGAGTTCAACAGGCAGGGGCTTTGCTTCCAGGTTTCCTGCAAGTGACTGGAGGAGGTGGACACTTCCTTGCTCTGGCTAGCTTCTGAGGTTTGCTCCATCAGGTGCATCTTCTAGCAGATTCTAAAAGCGATGAGTTCAATGGGCAATTTATGGGACATTAGGGTGATGATGTGGAGACCCCTACTGGCCAAAGACTGCAGAGCATGGCCTTTCCCAGAGCTCTGCCCAGCTGGACTCAGGCTCCAAGGTCACCAGGGTGGTCTCCTCTAGCCCCCAGAGCTCTGATTCCTGGAAAACCATCCTCATTAGTTGGTATTAGCACCATAAACCTTTTCAGGGAGATGTGTTAGTTACTTTTATGAGATTAAAATACCTGACACCCAAAGTTTAAGGAAGAAAGGTTTGTAGAGGTTTCAGTCCATAATCGGCTGTCTCCAAGGCAAGGCAGCGCAGCAGAGGGGCGTTGTAGAAGCAGGTGGAAGACAGCAAAGCAGCCAAGCACCAGTGGAAAGTGGAGTACAGATGACAGAGCCATCTCTTCCCCTCATATTCCACTCACACTTAGGCTGGGGTACCCTTAATCCCTGCATGGCACACCCAAGATGCGGCCACCTCTGAAAAGCCACCTCTGAGTGCACGAGGCTTTGAGGGGACACCAGATACACCCTGTGGGCAGAGGGATTGCAGGTACACAGGGACAATGGAAAATGGATGTATCAGCCTGTCTTGGTGAAATCAAGGGATAATCTACAAATTGTCAACCCCAGGGGCAAGCATGGGGCAGGAAGGGAGGCTGCTGGGGTTGCATAATTGGTACATTTGGAAAGATGACAAGCTGATGCTCCCAACAGCTCCCCAGCCCTTTCCCTTCCCTCTGCCCTCGAGTGTACATCACACAATTGTGGCGCTGAGTGGGAAAAGCCATAATAGGACCTTGTTTCCACAGCTCAGCAACCATGTAACATTGCCAAGTTTAACTTGGGAAAGGAAATACCCACAACCTCACACCATACAAATGGCTGCTAGAAAGTGGGCTGTAGCACAGGACGACAGGAACGGTAAACCCACCCCAAGCCCACAAGGGAAAGGGCGGTGCAGCAGTGCTTTGGCAGCATCCAGACACTGCACAAACCTTTCTCCATCTGGACCCCAGCATTCATTTCCTCAATTTGTTTCATTCATTCCATTCAGCTTTAGTATGGACTCAGCCTTATCCACTAAGGATACAGTTAACCAAAATGTGGGGCTTCCCATGGGGAAGGTAGAGGTAAAGAGGCTCAAAAAAGATGGGATTCTAAAGGATGAACCTCCCTATATTTGGAGGCACAAAAATTACCATCCAGGGCTGAGGATATAGTTCAGTGACACAGCATTTCTCTGGCAAGTGCAAGATCCTGAGTTCAAATCCCACCCCATACCCCTAGCCCCCAAAGTGGCCATGCCTCCTTCACCTAACCAACTGGGGCCAAGTCCACTGCAAACTGCCCTCTTACCAGGTCTCTGAACACTGGTCTTGCACACTTCAAGTACAATATGCTATAGCTGGCTCCCCTCAACCTGGCTCCCCTAAAGGCCCTAGGCTGACCCTAAGAGCAGTATTAACATAACTTGTGCTTCCTCCCTTTAAAAGCTACCCCAAGTTGGGCACAGTACACGACTGTAACCCAGGCACTTAGGTGTCTGAGGAAGGAGGATTTCGAGTTGGTCAGGCTGGGCTACACACTAAGACCTCATCTCAAAAGTAACTTAAATAAAACGCTACCCCAAGCTCCATGTAAGGCATGGAGAGGGAGCTGTAGACCTGTATCCTCTCTCTCCTGAAGTGCTGACCAGGTTTCAAAGAGCATCACCATTTAAAAAAAAAAAAAGCATCACTTAGGCATTTTAAGTTTGGCCAATTCTGAACCATGGCATCTCCATTTAACAGGTTTATGACCTTAGGCAACTTTGTGGCCTCTCCTATGGAAATGGAATTGTTGCCAACCAGATAACACAAAGCGTTCAGCACTGTCTGATAATAAGTGCTCAGAAAGTGGTACTCCAGCGTTCTAGTCAAACCTTTCATGGCTGAGCAGAAGGAAAAGAAGACATTATTGGGATTTCATTCAAGAATGTGTCTTTATTGAAGAATTTTAAGAAAAAAGGATGAACCCTCTGTAAAAAGAGGAGATACTGCCTCCAAACAGCAAGGAGGAATGAGACCTGGGTGGCTTCCCAGAAACTGGTGTTTCCGGCATGACTGGCTCTCAGGTCCTGCCAAACGCTACAGCATATCACAGGACAGCTAGTAATCCCATCCACCCTCTCCCAGCCCTTCACCCAAGCCCCCAGATTCCCTACAGCCATTTGCCAAGAGCTTGATAAAGGTTCAGGGGTAAATGTGCCAGGCTTACCACTCTTTTTCCCCCCAGTACAGGGGACTGAAACCAGGGCTTTGCACTGAGTTACATCCACAGCCCTGTTTATTATTTTGAGACAGGTTCTCACTAAATTACTAACCTGCCCAGACTGAGCTCAATCTTGTGATCCTACTGCCTCAGCCTCCCAGTGCTGGGATTACAGGCGTGAGCCACCACACCCAGCTCAGGCTTATTTCTTAATGGGGTTGAAGTAGGTTTGCTCTGGAAAATTCACAGGAATGTAAAATGCTTTGAGCTCTTTCTAATCCAACCAGCAATGATTACATCCAGCCCATTTTAAGGGAAAGGGAACAAAGAATTCCCCTCCTGAATGTGTACACTTCTAGGCAAACTGGACTGTATCAGTCTGCTCTTTATTAGCATGGAAAATGGAAACAAGGTTAGAATATATAACATCTGTGTTAGAGTCACTGAGTTTTAGAGGCAGAGGGCACTCAACAAGTGTCTTGCTGGCTACTCTCCAGTCCAGAACGGTCACTCTTCTCCAGCTGGGAGATTGTCTTCAATCCTCCTGATGAACCTCATCCGGATTTCTGTTACACCATCTCCTTTCAGGGTGTCCTGGACAAACTTGGCCTCCACTGCCATTTGGACCTGGAGGAAGAGTGGGAAATGAAGCGGCAGAGGCCTGGCCATAGACACCCCTGGGGACGGGGATGTAACCGATACATATACAGCAGACAGAAGAGCTGTTTCTCACAAGGACAGGACTGCCAGCTCAAATGCTCCACTGCAGAAAAGTTTCTCCCAGCCCACAAGAAGAAATTCAAGAATGAGGCTGTCATAAGAACCGTGGGAGCAATGAAACCCAAAATGTGTAATAGTCATTATACAAAAGAGAGGAAAAGAAAGTGCTCCAAACTATATAACTGCATGTATATTTAAGTGTATAAGATAGAAAATGATATCACAGAGTTTTATTGGATCAATGAACAGAACTGTTTGCAGTATCATTGATGGAATGCCCACTTTACAAGCTTTAATTTTGTGACTTGAACAATTATTTCTAAGATGACAATATATAATCCATTAACTAGTGATTTCCTACTGTTCATTTTTTTTTCTGTAAATCTGTATAACTTGTACCCTTTCCCTGCTTTTTTTTTTTTTTTTCTTTTCTCCTTAAATAAAATTAAAAAAAAAAAAAAAGAATGAGGCTGTCACCAGGGAAGCCAGTCTTGGAAAGGATGTCCCTAAGGCTGTAGGGTTTGACAATACCACTTCTCAGCCTAGCAGGGATGATCAGCTCCATGCAGAGATGCCTAACTTGGGTCTTAGCGGCATGGCCACTTCAGGGAACAAAGGTCAGGGATGAGCTGAAGCCCTCCTTTTCTCCCTCTCATTCAAACATTTATGAAGCCCCTACTATATTTCAGTGTTGCAGAAGGAATGAGCTACACTTACCATTTCCAAGGCTCCCCGCAATACCCCACACAAGAGATTGGAATAAATAAGGGATGAGTGGTTATCAGGAAGTTCCACAAAGTCCACCAAGGGGTTATTTTCTAAAATGAGGGAGAATTCATCACCAGCTGGGCTCCAATTAGTGATGCTTGGAGTGATGCCCAAGTACATCTTGAACGCCACCTGTCAGGGAACACACAATAGCACTACAGGGAAGGACAGCAGGAACTGTACAGGCAAGGCGGGGGGACACAAGCGGCTAAGGAAAAGAACTGTGGCCTCTGAAATGCGATGAAGTTCTAGATATTCACGCACAACAGAAGCAGCATCTGCGCATGATTCTGAATTGTCCTTCAGGAGCTCATAACTAGGCACCAGCTCCCTCTCTGCCAGTGCCTCTCAGTGGAGTGGAGCACCAAGCTTCCAGGGTCAGCTGCCCTGAGCCACCATCTGAGCAGAGGCCTGAACCTCCCCAGCCCATGGGTGCCGCCTGAACCCACCTTCAAAAAAGTGAACCGGTCACCTGGACACCTTCCCTGCCCCCCTCTTCACTCTAAACCCTCACAAAGCTTGCTCCTCTATCACCTGTCTTCGGATGTGCGCAGAGCCAGCATGCCTACTACTAACAGCACCATCCTTGAGGTAACTGCAGGTATTGTTTACTAGCACTATGATAAAAGAACACTAATATTAGCAGTAAACATTTATGATACGTACAACACTATGCTAAGTGCATTCATTTTACCTGAATGCTTATGTCCATAATTCATTCACTCTACAAAAATCATGTAAAGTAGCTCTTATTTTCTCCAAAAGTGAAGCAACTAGTAATCAAAGAAGTTGAAAGTTGCCAGGCAAGGGCTGGGGATTTAGCTCAGCAGCACAAGCACCTGCCTTGTAAGCAAGTGGTCGTGAGTTCAATCCCCGGTACCGATTTAAAAAAAAAAAAAAGTTGCCAGGCATAGTGGTGCCTATAATCCCAGCATTCTGAGAGGACGAAGCAGAAGGATCACAAGCCTGGCTTGGGCAACTCCAGCAGACCCTATCTCCAAATAAAACATAAAAAGCCCTAGGAAGCTAGCTCAACACTAAGGTCCTGGGTTTAATTCCAATGCATCAAAAAATAAAAAGTACAAGGAGTTACCTAAGAATCCAGTTGATAAATACCAAACCAAAACGTGAAGTCAGGAATGTTTATAGTCTGTATCTTTGTTGTTGTTCTGCTGTGCTAAGGATGAACCAGAGTCTCACATGTGCTGGGCAAGTGTTCCACTAAAGTTCCCTTCTATCTGTGTCTTTTTTTATTTTTGTTTTTGTTTTGTGGTACCAGGAATCCTACCACTGAGCTATATCCCCAGCCCCTAGCCTTTTTAAAATTTTTTATTTAAGGCAAGGTTTCCTTAAATTGTCCATGCGGGACTCAAACCTTGCAATCTTCCTGCTTCAGTCTCAGTGCTGGGATTACAAATACGTACCACTTGTGCCCAGCTCCATTTGTATTCTCTTTCGTTTTGTTTTTGGTTTGTTTTGTATTGACATTTTTTCTTTTTCTGAGCAAGCTACATAACCCCCGCTGTCTTCAAACTCACAGAACTCTTCCTATCTCAAGTCTCCAGAAAGCCAGGATTACAGGTGTGCATCACCATACCCAGCCTCCATCTGCACTGTAACCCTCACGTTGCTCTGCTATGCCTTCACAGTGGAGGAGATCTCGTCTTTAATTCCCGTGGGGCTTTAATCCATAGGGATGACCCCAATCATGCTTCCCTTTCTCATAATCTGTTACTCCCAGTCACCAGGAAAGCTTCTTGGACCCCAACACCTGCCTACTCAGTCTTTCGGGAGATTACAAGCCTAAAGGTGACACTGACATAGGAAGCAGTGCTTCCCAGGGGCAATCTTTCAGCATGGCCAGGTGGCCCAGGATAATGACCTTGGCGATGACATCTGCAGTTTCCCGAAAGTCATGGCATCTGCCAACATTTGACCGTGCCAAAAAATCTTCAATCAGTCGGACTCCTATGTTATAGCCCCTGGAAGGAAAAGAACAGAACATTATGAGCTCTAAATGTCTTATGTTTGAACATAAGGCTATTATTAGTAAGGGGGAACTGGGAATAACCACAAAACATCCCAATGAATGCACCCAGTGGCAACTCTACCCCTTCGACAGGACACTGTGGAGGGCTGTAAAATACAATGAAGACTCAAGAGTGCCCGGGAGCACCTCTTTTCACTCCTACAAAGGTGCTCACTCACATTTTGTCCAGCTGTTTATTCACATCTTCATCATTTTCATAGTCTTTGCATAGCTGGGTGACAAGAGCCCCATAGGTCAGGGTGAAGAGTTCAGAGCTCTAAAAGAGATTCAAAAGGCAATCAGAGCCAAGTAACACAAACAGAAAATGAGGTGACAATCAGGACTGGCCTTGATGCAACTTTTTTTGTTTGGTTGGGTTTTTTTGAGACAAGGTCCCCTTATGTAGTGCAGGCTGGCCTTGAACTCACTATGTCGCCCAGGCTGGCTTTGAACTCATGACAATCCTTCTGCCTCAACCTTCCTAGTGCTGGGATTATAGGCATGCATCACTACCACGCCTGGTGATACAACTGTCAAGATTCAAAGAAAGGTCACCTGTGTCTGCAGGGGAAAGCACATCTTTTCCATGGAGTAGCCAGGGCATGTGGCTCCCCAAGGTCAACTGGCCAAGCCTACAGCCAGACTCTGTATAAAAATCAGGCTGGAAGAAGCACCTCATGTCCTGGACAGTTGCTCTTCCAACACACCAAAGTGGACCTTTGACAACCCCAAGTCACCACCCTAGCAGATCAGCCATTAGAATCTGGTGTGGGAGTAGTAGGTGCTCATTTAGCAGTTACCAACTAGCCTCTATGTGTCGGCAGGTGAGACACCTCAAAACACCTCAACCTATAATTAAGATGTACTCCTAAAAGACCAAAAAAAAATGATTAAAAAAAAAAAAAAAAAAAAAAAAAAAAAGATGTACTCCTATGGCTTCACCCAGAAGAAGCAGAGAACTCAGGGGCCAGGCCACAAGGAAGAAAGGAAGTCCCACAGAAAATCTGTTGTCTTTCCTTTTTTTTGGAAAGCTTTAAATTTATTTTATTTTAGTCTTTTTGAGACAAGATTTCACTATGTAGTTCAGGCTGGCCTTGAACTCACTTTATAGCACAGGCTAGCCTCAATCTCCCAGAGATCCTCCTGCCTCAGCCTCCTGGGTGCTGGGATTACAGGTGTGTACCACCACATGCAGCAATTTTTTTATCTTGTATACACAGAGTTAGCAATGGTCTCTTTCACTGAGTGCATGTCTTGGATAATCCATCAAAAGAAGATCACTTAGTCCAATGTGCTGTAGTTGATAATCTCTCGTTGTGAGGGAAATACTGGTGGTACATGTTCAGACCATGTTTCTGGATCAACAGTGTTGGTTTGAGCAGATGCAGCAAGAACGAGAGCCCTAGGGGCTGGGGATTTAGCTCAGCGGCATAAGCACTTGCTTTGCAAGCAGGCGGTCGTGAGTTTGGTCCCTGGTACCGATAAAAAGTTTAAAAAAAAAAAAAAAAAAAGAGCAAAAGAACGAGAGCTCTGGCAGAATCTCCTGGGATGGCTCCAGTGGAGCTGCCAGTGATCCATGCTGTTTCCAGAGGTACAAGGAGGCAAAAGGCAAAGTCGACGGTCTTGAAGACAATCCCTCTTCAAACTCACCAGCACAGGAAAAAATACTGTTTCTCTTGACAGGTAAAATGGTTCCAGTAAAAGGAGTAAGTAAGGAATACAATCTTCTTTTTTATTTTTAAAGGAACACAATGTTTTGCATAACTGAAGCACAATACTGACCTGGACTGATTTCTGTTATGACCTCAGTTAAAATCACACAAACTCTCAAATACAGAATTCTAACTATAGGAGCTGGGGATTTAGTTCAGTGGCATAAGCGCCTGCCTTGCATGTGTGCGATGGTGAGTTCGATCCCCAGTACCGATAAAAAAAACAAAAACAAAAACAACAGAATTCTACTACTTGCCAGGCACGGTAGCATATGCCCATAATCCCAGTAATCAGGAAGCTGAAGCAGGAGGACTGTATGTGTTCAAGGCCAGTCTGGGCTATATAGCAAGTTCAAGGCCAGCCTGAACTACATAGTGAGATCCTGTGCCCCCCAAAAAAAGAAAGAAAGAAGAAACAGAAAAAGAAGAAAGAATACTATTACCCATCTACTAAGAAAGAGACATGTGTGAAAGGAAAGGAAAGACAAATATTAAGGCTACAGAATGAAAGCAGCAGGCAGGGAAAAAGTATTACCAGATCTAAAGTGAGAAACACATTAACAGCACAGGTAGACCAACGGAGGGCTGGAGACGTGGCTCAGTGGTAAGAGTGCTTGCCTAGCATGCAAGCTGCCTCTGCCCTAGGTTAGAGCCCTAGTACTACAAAACATTAAATTAAATTAAGGCCAGGTGAGGAGGCGCAACTGTGCGTAATCTCAATATTTGGAGGCTGAAGCAGGAGGATCACTGTGAGTTCGAGGCTAAGCTGGTTTAACCTAGTGAGTTTAAGGTCAACCTGAACTGCACAGGGAGACTCTATCAAAAAAAGAATAATCTGAGTGCTTTTTTTCCCCTTGTATACTGCATTCTGCCTTGCATCACCTCACTTTTCGATCTCACACTAACTCAGTAAAGTAAAAAGGGGAGGAACCACTCTTACTTCTTAGAGAACACTGAGACTAGTACAATTAAATAATTTGCCCAATAGGGGCTGGGGATTTAGCTCAGCGGCATAAGCGCCTGCCTTGTAAGCAGGCAGTCGTGAGTTCGATCCCTGGTACCGATAAAAAGGAAAAAGACAAAAAAAAAAAAAAAAAAAAAAAAAAAATTTGCCCAAAGTCAAACAACTAATTATTAAGAAAATTAATCTGGGAGGACAAATGCCAAAGGTTTCCCACCCAATGTTCATTCGATCCACTATTCCCCATAGATGCAGTATTAAGCAACCCCCGCAAAAGAGGGGGAAAACCCCAGTGCACTAGAGTCAAAGAGAATCAATTTCAGAAGGCTCTTTGAACTCAACTAAAACAGTCGGATCAGGGTGTCTCCAAGAGATCATTTACCAAACACAGCAATTAAAGGAAAGCTATTAAGGAGGAGAATGATTTTTTAGTGAAGTCAAGGGCTTGGCACTAGAATGGCTTAGGCATGAATGGATGGAGACAATCCAGCAGTTACCAGTCAGGAGAGTTGGCACCACTGCATTAAATCAGGAGTGCTTTCCTTCCATTATTAATATGCCCTGGAGTGGAAACACCATGAGCCTCAGCAACCCAACCATGATGTTAAGGAGCATGCAGATCATGACACTATAAAGCATCTTACACATTCAGTCACCCCCGACCAAAAAAAAAATCAGGGTCCTGACTATCTATCCATGTTCATAAATCAGTATGCCTGAGATCCCTAACTCAGTTCTCCATGCGCCCTCTCTCCTCTTCACGCACTGCTGGCATTAAAACTAAAGCCTTGGGCTGGGGATTTAGCTCAGCAGCATAAGCGCCTGCCTTGCAAGTGCGTGGTCATGAGTTTGATCCCTGGTACCAATAAAAAAAACAAACAAACAAAAAAAACACTAAAGCCTTGTGCATGCTAGACAAGTGCTAAGCCACTCACAGCTACACTCACAGACTTTTGATTTTTAAAGGAGCTCTCCTAAGGTGCTCAGGCTAGACTAAAATTTGGATCCTGCATTGGCTTCCTGAGTCGCTGGATTACTTCTCCATTCATTCATATTCGTATTCTCATTCATCCTTCTCCCATCCTCTCCCTATCCTCTTTCCTCTGCCCCTAAGACCTCACTATGTAGTCTATGCTGCTCTCAAACTCATGACCCTCCAGGCTAAGCCTCCTGAGTGCAGTGATTATACATGTGTACCACCACACCTGGCTCTATGTCCTTTCTCGAATTTCCAGGTCTGGTGGCCAGGTGTGGTGGCACATGCCTGCAATCCCCACTTGAGAGGCTCAGGCAGGAAAATCATCAGGAGTTTATGGGCAGTCTGAGCTACATAGTGTTCAAGGGAACCTAAACTAAAAACTGTAACCCTGTCTCAAAAAAAATTTTTTTTCCAAGTGTCAGTATTTTCAATTATGAACCAAAGCCTGTTTGGGAAAATAAGCATCAAATATATAACTTAAATAAAAACAACAAATATATAATTTAAAGGACTTAATACTTTTTTAAAAAGGGGTGAGGCTATGAGCTATGGTATAGAGAAAAAAATTATCCAGCCAGGCGAGGTGGCACACATCTGTAATCCTAGCACTTAGGAGGCTCAGGCAGAACTGTTTGCAAGTTCGAGACCAGCCTGGGCTACAAAGTGAGCCCAAGGTCAGCCTGAACTGCACAGTGAGACTCTGTCTCAAAAAGACAAAAAAAAAAAAAAAAAAAAATTCAGGCAACAATTACTACTTACCAAGGACTACCTAGTAGGAAGGAGACAGACATACAGCAAAATAACTGAAATCCATAGTTTTTTCAGATAGTGATAAGTGCTATGGGTAAAAAAATAAACCATCAAAGAAGTCCAGGTGTGGTGATACACACCTGTACTCCCAGCACTCAGGAGGCTGAGGCAGGAGGATCCATGGGAGTTGAAGGCCAGCCTGGGCTACACAGTGAGTTCAAGATCAGCCTGAATTACATAGCAAGACCTTGGGGCTGGGGATTTGGCTCAGTGGTATAAGCGCCTGCCTGACAAGTACAAGGTCATGGGTTTCATCCCCAGTACCAAAAAAAAAAAAAGCCAGACCAAATGATTAACAACAAAAACTTCCAAAGGAGATTAGGAGGTGTTTATGCTCATATATGTGTACATATTGGCTATCATTAATTTTAAATACAGTATTCAGGGAATACCTCACTAAGGTGATATTTGTGTGAAGACATGAAGTAAGGAAGGGTAAACCATGCAGATATCTGAGTGAAAACATTCTAGACCAGTGATGGTGAACTTTCAGAGCTTTCAATGATAACAAACAGCCTGCTGCTGTATGCATGCCACAGGTTTACCACTACTGTTCTAGTGTAAGTGTAAATAAAAATCCTGAAGCGGAAATAAGCTTGACATGTCTGAAAAGTAGCTGGGAGGCCAGTGTCATTAGAGAGAGTAAGCAAGAGAGAAGGAAATGAGAGAAGTAATGGGACAGGAGGTTGTAGGGCCTCAAGATCACACAGTGTTTGGCCCTCATGATCCTTAAAACAAACATTTCCATGGGACCAGAAAATCAGTTTACTCAATCAGTCCACTTTTTTTTTTTTTTTTTTTTGAGACAGGGTCCCCTTATGCAGTTCAGGCTGACTTTGAACTCACTATGTAGCCATGGCTGGCCTAGAATTTGTGGTGATTCTCCTGCCTCAACCTCCTGAGTGCTGGAATTACAAGCATGTGCCACTATGTTCAGCATAACCAGTCTACTTTTGTCACTGAATTTAAGTACCACATTTTCCCTATCACAGAACCATGAGTTTATTCTGCAACACTTCTATTTTCAGACTACTTTCATTTTATATATATATATATAATTTTTTGTATCAGAGATTGAACTCACAACCTTGCGCTTGCCAGGCAGGCACTTACACCACTGGGCTAAACCCTTGGCCCTTTAATTACATTTAATAACAATAATTTTTTTTTAAATAACAATAATTAACTTTATTGTTAGTATAGTACGCCTGTAATCCCAGTACTTGGGAAGCTGAGGCGCGAGGATAGCTACGAGTTTGAGGGCAGGCTGAGTTATAAAGTGAGCTCAAAGTCAGTCTGAACTGCATAGTGAAACCCTGTCTCAAAAACAAAACAAAACAGGGCTGGGAATTTAGTTCAGTGGCATAAACACTTGCCTGGTAAATGCCAGGTCCTGAGTTCGATCCCTGGTACAAAAAAAAAAAAAAAAAACACTTAAATTCTAAGAATCTTTGCAATTCCGCCTTGATCCTAATAACCATGAGACCTAGGTTAGCAACATCACTTATCCTCATTGCCCAGATGACAGGTTAAACAACACATTCAACAGCCTGTCTATCCATCCATCTAGTGATACGAGGGATTGACCCAGGTACTAGGGATTGAACCAGGATCTTTGCATTGAGTTACATCCTCAGTCTGTTTTTATAATTTTGAGACAGTACCTTGCTAAATTACTAAGTTGCCCAGGCTGGGTATAAACTTGCATTTCCCCTGCTTCAGCCTTCCAGAGTGCTGAGATTACAGGTGTGTGGCACCATTTCATATTATCTTCCCTTCAGCAATACAATGCAATTCCAATGAGAAAATGATGTCTAGAGGACCAGCTGCACATCAAGTATTCAAGAAGACTTCTTTCCCTGGTGCTGGGGATTGAAGCCCTGGGCCTCACACACACTCACCAAACACTCTACCACTGACTAAGCTTCGTCTCTAGCCTTGTTATTTGTATTCTTTTTAAAAATTATTTATTTATTTTTGTGCCAGGGATCGAACTCACAACCTTGCACTTGCCAGGCAGACACTTACACCACTGAGCTAAATTTTGTTTTTAAATTTTTTTCTGTTGTTTTTTTTATCTTAAATGGGTTCTAGGTAAGGTGCTGCCAGAGTGCAACCCTAAGTAGGTTCCAAGCTGACTCTGAATCAATATAAAGAACCTTCTAACACATGAAACAAAAGTAGGTTTGTAAGTCAGATGGTCTGATTTACTACTTTAGAGCTGTGAAAACTCAGGTAACTCACTTTGTAAATTTCAATCTCTTTACACAAAAACAATAACAGGAAAACATGTCATGCTAGTCATAGGGCTGTTTGAGGATCTAATTAGATAATGGATTTGAAGATTTTTTTTTTTGTACTGGGAATTGAACCCAAGACCTTGTGCTTGCCAAGCAGGCACTATGTTGCTGAGCTATATCCTTGGCCCTTGAAGATGGTTTGCAGACAAGAACCCACAGGATTATGGCAGCTATGCCAGAATAATCTCCAAGTAGAAACAATCTGGGCATGAAAGTTAAGCCAATTTCTATCCTCAGATGTACCACTTCATGGGTCTCAGAAGGTGTTTTAATTAGTGCCCCAAACAGACACTAAAGGGGGCTACTGCTTAGAGCTAAGGCTCCAAGTCACGCTTTTTTTTAAAAAAGAGAATGAACCAAAATAAAACAGAATAGAGCCAATCAAAACAAAACAATAAAAGTGACACAGGACTTCAAAACAGTATAACAGGGGCTGGGAGTTTAGCTCAGTGGTATAAGCGCTTGCCTGGCAAACATGAGGTCATGAGTTCGATCCCCGATACCAAAAAAAAAAAAAAAAAAAGATACAAAACAGTATAACAGGAAATTAACCATTGCTACTGTAATGTCTCTTGTTATCTTTAAAATTACTGCCCATATCATCATACATGATAAAGTCAAAACAGAACAGAATAAAATCAATCAAAGGAAAGCACTGAATAAAAAAAAAATAAAATAGAGCAAAATGGGCTGGGGATATAGCTCAGCAGTACAATCTTTATGCTTGTCTGGCAAGCATAAAGTTGTAAGTTCCAATTCCTAGTATGAGAAACAAAGATAAATAAAATGGAGCAAAACAAAACAGAACAATACTGGATTTCAAAAACAAGACAAAAAAATTCCCCATTGTTGCTATAGTACATTTTGTTATGCCCTAAATAGACATTTACAGTATTGGCTTTAGGCTTGCAAAGTGAATCAAACAACGTAAGTATTAAGCTCTTTTTGTACCCTAGTTGCTGACAACTAAATCTGTATTCCTCTGAATCAGCCAGTTGCTTATGAGGGGAAGGGTTCACTCTTCTTGTCTCACAGCCCATGTACCAGCTGGCTCATGGGAAGGGCACATCTTGCTTCTCCTCCTAGCCCACAGTTAGCACTGGCTCACAAGAAGGGTGCATCCTGTTTCTCCTCTCAGCCCATGGTTACTTTTTTTAATAGTTCAGTTTGTCCTTGAACTCACTACGGAAACCAGGCTGGTACAGTAATCTAAAAGTTGAGATCACAAGGGTATACTACCACGCCCAGCCTATCAGCCATACTATTTTTGTCAAAACAGGTAACCCAATGTGAATCCTTTCTAGTAGCTGGGGTTGTAAGGTTAGTTTAAAAAAAAAAAAAAAAGTATCCTGCCCTCTCTCACGTTCCACCCTCTGGTCCTGGTGACTCTAAATGCAGGTACTTACTTAGTACTGGAAAAAGAATCCCAATGACATTATTCTCAGAACTAGAAAAAACAATCTTGAAAATCATATGGAACCACAAAAGACCTGGGATACAGAGTGAGATGCCACATGCCTAAACTTACAATCACAATACTTACAATGCTGAGGCAAGAGGATCATGTTTAGTCATGAATTCCAGGCCAGGATGAACAACATAGAGACACTCTGCTCAGAAACAAAAAACAAAACAAAGCAAAACAGAATACCCAAAGCAATCCTAAACAAAAAGAGCAAGGCTGGAGACATCACAATAACCAATTTCAAATTATACTATTAAGTCAAAGTAAGAAAAGAGCATGGTGGGGCTGGAGATTTAGCTCAGCAGCCTAAGTGCCAGCCTTGAAAGCAGGCAGTTGTGAGTTCGATCCCCGGTACTGATAAAAAGGAAAAAGACAAAAAAAAAAAAAAAAAAAAAGAAAGAAAGAAAGAAAGAGCATGGTACTAGCTCAAAAATAGACACACAGACCAAAGGAATAAAACAGAGGATACAGAAACAAACCCTCACAACTACAGTCCTCTTACTTTGAACAAAGGAGTAAAAAGTATACACTGGAGAAAAGATACTCTCTTTAACAAGTGATACTGGGAAAACTGGATATCCATATGCAGAAGATTAAAACTAGATGCCTATCTTCCACTCTGTACAAATACCAATTCAAAGCAGATAAGAGACATAGGTATAACTTAAAGCTTTGAAACTGATGAAAGAAAATAGGAGAAACACCTGAAGCCAGAGACAAACTTCCTAAAGAGGGTTCCAGTAGCACAGGAAATAACAAGAATCAACAAATGAGGCCATCAAATTAAAGTTTCTGCACAGCAAGGGAAATAACTAATAGTATGAAAAGACAGGAGATAGAAGAAAACTTTTAAACCAGAAGTGGTGGTACATACCTATAATCCCAGCATTTGGGAGACTGAGACGGGAGGATCACTGTGAGTTCGAGGACTGTCTGGGCTACATAGTAAATTTAAGGCTAGTCTGAACTAAATTGTGAGACCCTATCAAAACAAAAATCAAGCAAAAATAACTACACTGAGATTCCACCTCATCTAAGTCAGAATGGCTATCATCAAAAATTCAAACACCAAGTGAGGTATGGGAGTGCATTCTTGTAATACTAGTGCTCTAAGGCAGGAGGATTCAAAGACTGCAAACCCAAAACCAGCCTGGGTTGCTGGGCATGGTGGCACACACCTGTAATCCCAGCACTTGAGAGGCTAAGGGAGGACAATCACTGAGTTCAGGGCCAATCTAAACTACATCAAGGCCAGACCAAATTACATACCAACATCCTGTGTTGGAAAAAAGAAAAACAAGCCAAAACAACAACAAAAACCCTGGTTTTTAACCCTGGTTAAATTAGGAAGACCCTGTTTTAAAAAAAAAAAAAGTAGAGGAGGGGGAACTGAAGATGTAGCTCAGTGTGAAGGCTCTAGATTCACCTCACAATATCACTAATAATAACAAACAACTAATGCTGTAAAGGATGTTGGGGTTATTCATTGCTGGCAGGAGTATAAATTAAATCAAAGAAAGTAAATACAGCTACCATTAAAGAAATCAAATACAGCTACCATTTCATCTACTGTATCACTTCATATATACACAAAGGAATAAAAGTTAGCATACTATAGAGACACTTGCACATCCATGTTTATTATAGCACAATTCACAATAACTAAGATAGGGAAGTAGCCAAATGGCCGTCAACCAAAGAATGGATTTCAAAAGTGGCATATGTATACAATGAACTATTATCAGCAATAAAGATAAACAAAATTATGTCATTTGTAGGAAAATGGATGGAACCAGAGACCTGTGTGTTAAGCAAAATAAGTCAGCTCAGCAAAGCAAATATTGTATGTTCTTCTTAACATGTAGAATTTTAAAACGAGGATATCAAAGCAGAAAAGAGACTATTATTAGACAAAAGGATGGAAATAAGGATGCGGTTAAGACAGGATATAGGGGGGCTGGGAATTAGCTCAGCGGCATAAGTGCCTGCCTTGCAAGTGCATGGTCATGAGTTTGATCCCTAGTACCAGGAAATAAAAAAAAAAAAAAAAAGACAGGATATAGGGGTGGAACAGTGGGATGTGTATGATCAAGCTTCAGGCTGGCTTTGAACTTTCAGCAATCCTCCTGCCTCAGCTTTCTGAGTGCCAGGGTTACAGGGTACAATTGCCAGATTTCCATCGAGGCGTAGTGGCACACATCCATAATCACAGCATTCTGGGAGGCTGTTTCAGTGACTTAGTGAAACCTTGTTTCAAAATAAAAAGTACAAAAAGGAGTATGGATATAGCTAAGCACAAAGACCGTGGGTTAAATGCCTAGTATCACAAATAGTGATTTCAAGACAAAAAATTATACAAAAATGAAAGCATGACACAAAAACTAAGATTTCTCTGCTCATACTATAGGAGGAGGAAACAAAGGCCATTTGAATTTTACATGATCTCAACTAATGTAGGGTAGGTACTACTGAACCCATTTCATAGAGAGGAGACTCTAAGCCAGAACTCCAATTATGATCCATGCTCCATGTCACTATTTTTTGGTAATAATATTCTACTATAGTGTTGGTTCTAGGGCCTCAACTCAGGATGGCATGCATGCTAAACAAGCATGCAGTCACTAAGCTGTATCCCCAGTCCCTATACAGTTCCACAATGGCTGTGCCATTTTACACTCCCATCAGCAATGCATAAAGATTCTAATTTCTCCACATTTTTGCCAACACTTTGTTATTTTCTATTTGTTTTCTTTTTTGCAGTACTGGGGATTGAACCCAAGGCTAGCAGAGTTACACCACCAGTGCTTTTTTTTTTTTTTTTTTTTTAAACATTGTTTCCTGCATGGTTTATCTCCTTAGTTACTGCCCAAAGGACTCTGAGAAGTTGTAGGAATATGCAGGCACAGACACAAGGCCCAGCTTCTTCTCCAACGTTGTGGAAAGAGACTGTACATCACAGGGCAGAGCCCCATGCTCCCCTATGCCACCTGGACAGAGCCCAGGGAGAGTGACCTCCCGGAGTATCCACGTTGGAACCACCAATGCTTCTCCCTCCCCCCCAGGAAGTTGCTAGTGTACACCAGTGCTTTTTATTCCTTTAATTTTTAGACTCTATCTCACTAAATCATTCAGTTGTCCAAATTGGGATCAAACTTGTGTTCCTCCTGCCACAACCTCCCAAGTGCTGAGATTACAGATGTGCACACCACGCTCAGCTTCTGCTTTTAAACTTGGTATTTTTCTCAAAACCAGGGATTCTACTTTTCTTCTCTGTAGTGCTGATCCCCAAGCCCCTACCCCTTATACATACCCTGAATATGTCTGTGTATTTAATAAATCTGGGAAGAAGATGCATGATTAGCATCAGCTTCCAAAACAGATGCAGAGGAAAAAAAAAAAAAAGGTTAAATACTATTCTGGAGTAACAGGGCTTCCTTGTAGCCCACTTGGTGGTTTTTTCTGATGTAAGATGTAAAGGCATAAAGGAAGTTTAACGACCCCGTAAAAAACGAAGCGTCAACACAGAGTTCCTGATCTGCCCAAACAGGATACAACTTCAGACACTCTGTCCTGGGCCTCCCCATGAACATGCAGTTTGGCACAATACCGTCAGTCTAGATGCTCAGTTTTTAAAAACTTCAAAATAAAGACATGACATGGGCGAATCTGGAAAGAAATTAAGCAGAAGAAAAGGAGTATCTGCCAGGAAAGCGTTGGAGAAAAACGTTATCTTCTTGTCCAGACCCACTCAGCCCCTTTATTGTGTTCTACTATTCCTAGGGCAAGAGGGGAGCCCACCTTTTCTACTATTAGCGAGGCACCACTCACTCACACTGGTCACTGAACAGAAGAAAGTTCTTTTCGGACAAAATCAGTATCAGAGCACAGCTCACAATGCCCACAGCATAGTGTGAGACAAGACAGCCATTTAACCTGAAGTTATGCAGTTGGAGCTAGCAGTTCAAATCTTAATTCCTAGATATAAATTTGGGCGAGTTATACAACCTCCCTGAGCAGCAAAATGGCACATCATCTCCCATCTAGCAGAGTTCCTCTGCGGATCAAGTGAGAGACTGTACGTAAAATGCTTGGCCCAGTGCCTGACACACCGTAAGAGACCAGCAAGTGGCAGTTGCTATCATTTACTGCTCTCGCTGTTGTTGCTCTAGAACACAGCTGTACAGCGGTCTCTGCGGTGAGCTACTCCAGCACCTGCTCAAGCCCGGGACGCCCTCAGACTGAGCCACCTGGCGACTACCTCCTCCCACAGCTTCAGGAGGGCTCTTTTCCTAATCGTGCCTAGCGCCCGCGCGGGAACCAGGCCCTTTCTCCAACACGCCTATACTCCGCTTCACCGGCGGGGTCATGGGCTCCAAATTACCATTTTCTTGCTCTCAGTGCCGCGGTTCGCCTGCCTCGACATGATGTTGACCTCCCTCTTCCGCCTTGCCACAAGCCCTCTAGAAGACACTCCAGACGTCGCTCAACCCAGTCAAGGCCCCTTAGCCTCTGGGACTAATCCGCGCTGCTTCACCGAGTCTGCGCGGGTGCCGCTGGGCTCTATGGGACTCGTGGTCCGTCTGACAATAACTCCGCCCAACGGACGCAAGACTACAGCGCCGGACCACCCCGGCCGAAGCCCCGCCCCTCGCGCAGCGGAACTACGGGTGCCGAAGTGCCTCGCGAGTCCTTGGCTGTCATTTCCTGGACCTTGGATTGTATTCTGTCGCTGGGTGGCGTCCGTAGCCTTGCAGCAATACTGTATTATCCACCCACTGTCACCTCTTCCCTCCCCCACGCTTGCCTCAAAGATGCGCTGCAAATTCCTTTCTCGCGGGTTGGTCTTGGAAAGTCCCTCTTTCGAACTAGTTGCTTCCGCTGTTGCTGCAATTCGGCGCCAGAAGCTCCCAGGATGTCCCAGAAACTAGCAATGGCTCACACACAGATCTGGCTTCTTGTTTTTGTTTTTCCAGTGCTTGGAATAGAACCCATGACCTCGCACATGCTAGTGCTCTACTGCTGAGCTACAGCACCAACCTGTATTATAAAAAATTTTAATGAACACCTACTCTTTGTCAAGAATTTCGCTAGTGTCTTTCTTTTTAAACTGTCATCTGGTACGACTCCCTACCACCATTTGCCTCGCAGTGGAATACCCAGTCTTTTAGATAAAGTCCAAGTCATTTTCTTCCTCCTGTTTCCCTAAAACAGCTACACTGCCTGGTTCTCAGAAAAGAAAGACCACCAACCCTAGTAGCATCTAGTCCTGAGTTTTAATCCAGGCTTTGCCATATGAGGCCAGTTGCTGGATTTCACTCAATTGATGATGCATGCATGCAAATAAAACATAAAAGGCACATAGTGAATACACATTTTCCCTTTCTTCCATCCACCTGCTAAAAACACAGCCCCGTGAATATTGGTGAATGTACTGGCTGACCCCTCTCACCATCATGAAGAGGAAGTCCCATAGTCACAGATCACAGCTCTTTGTTTTCAGCTCCAGCTATCTCTCCTTAGTGGTCAAAGCTGAGGGGGCTGAGCTGAGGAGGATGGAGTCCTTGAGCATTTCAGTCTGATAGCCTGACTCTGTAGCAGCTGTATTCTAGCCCCTAGCCTTCACCATGACAACCAGCCTGTGCAGAGGGGCCAGTTTAGATTGGGAAAGGCTAGAGGGGCCTAGGAGTTCCCTCGGTCACTTCCTGAAGGTGCAGGACCAACCATTATTATACCCCTTCTCCCTGTGGCACATTCTAGAGCCTCCCTAGAGGCAGTAACCCCTGACTCACTCCTGTGTCATGCCCAGGGGAATGAGCCAAAGGCTAAGCACTCTGAGAAGGAATATGAGTGGCGACTCAAAGGGGCAGAGAGAAGCAGGGGACAGCTAGCCCTGGCAGATCAGCATGGCTAGAGGACAGCCTCCCACATTCCCAGGAGAGAGGACAGCTGAGGTGAAAGCTGCAGTTGGCCAGCCTGTCGGTCTGGGCTCCTCCCTGCCGGCTGCCTTGGCTGCCCACAGAAACCTGAGTCACAGTCAAGGCCAGCCGCCCAACCCCACCCAGCCTGCTGTCAGTCTGGGCGGTTCTGGAGAAATTGGAGGTGGAGTCTCTCCCTGCAGATTCTTCTTATTTGTCACTGATTTGTCCCCTTGGCATTGCTTTCTCTTTGGGACTTGTCCTTGCAGTGTCATCAATCCTGAATTCCGGGTGAGAGTGGGATCTATCTGTTGATTTAAATAGGGTCTCCTCCTTACTCACATTGGAACATAAACAAGAAGAAAAGAGGAAGAAAGAAGGGAAAAATGGAAGCAAAGCTCTTGTAAATAAGGAGGGGAAGAGCAGTTGAAAGGAGGGGAGGGAAATGGGAAGAAAAAAGAAAGCAAGATATATGATGGGCAGGTACAAATTCCTTATGATGAATGTGATCATTATGTATATCTAAAATGTTCCAATAAAAAAAGCAACATAAAACTCTTTTAGGGGTGTAGCTCAGTGATAGAAATGCATGCTTTGCATGCACAAGGTCCTGAGTTCAATCTCTGGGAGGGAAAAAAGAAAAACTCCTTATATAGTTAGTCTGAGGATTCTCAGTACAGACAAATCCTTATACAGCTACTCCAAGGTTTCTCAGTATAGTTCCCATCATTTTGAAATTCTAAAGCTTCTCCCACCACTCTAGGGTCAAGGACAATTAAGAAAACCAAGCACTCATTGCCTATCCTTGTCTTTTGGATGCAAGCAAGGTCAGCTCCCTATCAGGGGCTCTAACAAGGACCCCCTAATGTTTGAACCTATTTAGTACAGAATCTGAGATCCTATTTGTTCCCAGTTTTCTTAGTACTGCCCCTCCCAAAGAGCCAAGGGGAAAGAGACACTGGAGCCCCCCTTTGAGGATGCTTCTGGACCCAGACCCAGGTAGAGGGACCTCAAGTCTAAGGTTCTCCAGGAGAGCTAGTTGGTTAGAGACCCCTTTTTGCTACAGGGCCTTAAAGGTGGAGAGGGAGTGAGAATCTGCGGTTTATTCTTTCAGCTGCCCCCTGAAGGCCCCTCCCACTTCCTACTTTGTGAGTAGGGCAGCAGCATCTAGGGCCTCTCTCTATCCGAGATTCCTATCTCTGAGTCAAATTTCCCAGTGATTTCCTTCATCTCTTCATCAGGTTCATTCTGGGCTCTACCCCCACTAAACTTAGCAGGTTGTGCAAGTGCTCTTGTTCCTGTCCTCCCTCTGGGAGGATCAAGAAGAGGACATATTTGTGATCCTCACTCAGAGACCTGCCCCCAACACCAACCCAGCCTTGTGGTGAGACTAGGAGCTCTTGGACCTGTTTTTGAGGAGGGAGGCACCACCCTGGGCTGCAGAAGAGGTGACAAAATTTCCCTGTCCCACACTGATGAGGGTAGAGCATTGTGTTGGGGGTTTACCCCTGCTATTGCAAGAACCCTATTTAGCCATTCTCTGAGTTGTCTAACTTGATTTAAAAAACAAACAAACAAAAAACCAAATTTTGCTAAATGCTCAGGCTAGGCTCCAATTTGTGATCCTCGTGACTTAGCTTATCATTGTACAGGCATGTGCCACCACTCCTGGCTGGGGTGTCTAACATAATGGAGTCATGTGAAATCCCTAGGCACCATCACCTGACCCCAAACTCAGAGAGACACCATTGTCAACCCATACTTAGTTACTGGGGCCTGGGACCTGCCAGGAATCCTGGTCAGTTAGAGGAGAAGGAAAAGCACCTACTCCATCTGTCCACTTCAACTGCATCACCTGAGGCACTCTACTCTCTTGGCTTCCCCCCAAGACATCTTTCCAAGTTCTCTGTGGTCCATCAGCTGTGCAAAAAGCCTTCTGGAATAGGGGCCATGGATACAGCTCAGTGGCACAGTGCCTGCTTGACAAGCCAAAGTCTTGAGTTTGATTCCAGTACAAAAGAAGGAATAGGAGGAGAAGGAGGAGGAGAAGGAAGAGGAGGAGGAGGAAGAGGAGGAGAAGAAGGAGAAGAAGAAGAGGAAGAAGCCTTCTGGGGACACCTGCCTCTCAAGTTGCCTAACTTCCCATTTGCCCTGCTGGCCTCTAGCAACAGCATCTTGGTGGGGTGGGGCGGGGCAGGGGACTTCAGGAATCTCAGAATGGGAGAGAAAGGGTCCAGCTTTGGCATTATTAACAGTCTGCACCGGATAATTCTTTGCTGTGAGGGATGGGCCTGTGCGATGCAGGATGTTAAGCAGCATTCCTGTCATCCATTCATTAGATTTTAGTGGCATCCCCAGATGTGACAACCAAAACATCTTTAAACATTGCCAAATGTTCCTCTGTCCAGAGGGGACACAGAATTGCCCTTAGAAGAGAATTACTTACTGATGAAAGCAAACACTACAAGCAGCTTCATAAGGCTGCCTCTTTTCAGTGAGCTCCCCAAGTTAATCTAGATAATTAGATATAGTTTCCAGTTCTAAGAAACCCTTGATCTTCAACAGCTTCCTGAGATCTACATTTGCAAGTCAATTGGCATTCAAGTTCTGTCATATAGGCCATTCCTGGCCTATCTTTTCATGTTAGCTATCATTTCCTCTTCCATTTTTTTGTTTGTCTTGTATTGAGAATCAAACTCACAGCCATACGCTTGCCAAGCAGACACTGTGCCACTGAGCTACACTCCTGGCCCCTCTTGGTTATTTCTTAGCTCTAGCCAGTGAGAATGTTTCATCATTCCCATCTATCCTTTTTTTTTTTTTTTTTTAAAGACAGGATCTTACTATGCAGTTTGGGCTGGCCTTGAACTCAATTTGTAGCTCAGGCTGGTCTCAAACTCTCAACGATCCTCCTGTCTCAGCCTCCTGAATGCTGGTATTACAGGCATGCATCACCACACCCAGCCTACCTATCCATTGTTATTCCTGCAGTAATCTCAAAATGGGGCTCTCGGGGCTGCCTTGCAAGCAGGCAGTCGTGAGTTCGATCCCCGGTACCGATAAAAAAGAAAAAGACAAAAAGGGGGGGGGGCTCTCCTTTTTTTGCTCTCTCTGTCTCTCTTTCTTTTTATTATTATTTTACTTATTTATTTAGTTGGGTTCTTTGGAGACAAGTTCTTACTGTGTGATTTGGGCTGGCCTTGAATTTACTATGAAGCCCAAACTAGCCCAGAATTTAAAGTGATCCTATTGTCTCAGCCTGCCAAGTGCTAGGACTACAAGTGTGCACCACCATACCCAGTTCTGTTTTCTGAATTCTCTGAAACCTATGGGCCTGTCCAGCTCTGGAAGAGCCAGGCCCTGAGGCCTCTGACTCTCCAAAAGAGTCATGGACTCCAGCATCTATTTTTTTTTTCTTTTGTCTTTTTCCTTCTTATTGGTACTAGATATTGAACTCACAACTGCATAAGGCAGGCCCTTATGCTGCTGAGCTAAATCGCCAACCCAACTCCATCCTCTATATATGGTCCTCTTACTCTGTAGATGGGATGGCTAATAACAAAGACGGGGAATCTGCTCTCCATCCTAATCCTCTTTGCACTGTGAACTCCTTCATTATCAAATCCTTCTATATCATATTTATTGAGCATTTCCT